TTAGACTCAGATTTTAAAAGCCAAAAAAATTAAGATAGTTAAAAACTGTTTTTCAGGACCTGTAGAGTAGACCAATGTAGTTATGGGGCTTAGCTGTAGTGCGTCCTCAGCGTCGATTGGTGGCAGAACTGAGGCAACAATTTGTCTCCGCCCCAAACAAAAAAACCTCCGAGGAAGAAGAAAACATCAACAAGATATGCGAAACTAAGCCGACTGTCACTTTGAATCGATGTCTTCAGTCAGAGGGATGGGGGTCCTCCCAGGGAGTCGCGTTTTACGTTTACTTCTCTTCATTATACTGCTGTCAGAGCGACATTTTCGATGGGTAAGTTCAACTTATCGTTCGTGTTCTCGTGACTAAAACATGACTCAGCTCGGTCTGCAGTTGCTAACTTTTGGGTGATGTTTATCGGAGGCGGCTAACGAAACTGAGATCCAGCTCGGGATCTATCTATAGCTATTTGTTTTTTTTTTTACTCCTTTGGGAAAAATAAATAATAACGTTTGCAAGTAGCTGGCTTAATAGTGGTGTCAAAACCAGTCTGAACCAGTTTCGTAACGTTAGAGAAAACCGATTGTTGGACCTTAGCTTTGACATTCCTTAGCGACGGCCGGTGTTGACACAGGTTGTATCCCGGAGGGCTGGTGGCGAAGAAAGTTCCCAAAATCAAAATCACCACCCTGTTTCAACTTGGTTTTAAATGCTTAACTTTCTAAACGTGTTCCAGTTGATTGTGCCAAGTCATAAATGTTAGTTTAAATGGCTTGCAAAACAAAAATAGAGACTGAATGTGCGTCTTTTGCACATTCAGTGCAGGTTATTTAGCCAAGCAGGGGGAAGCTTTACATGGTTTCGATTAAATTAAACATTCAGTTGTATTAGTGGTTGTAGTGTAACGTTATATTATAATGTAACGACAGGAGGGTTGAGCTCTAAACAGCTGTTTTAAAGGATGAGAGTGAGAACTAAATTGTAATAATAAATGACACATAAACAAGTAAGTACAGAGGAATTACAAGAGGAAAAAAAAACCCGCCATAATCCTTAAGGCGATTACAAAAATAGGTTAGGATCTAAATGAATGATGGATTTGAATGTGTAGTATACAAGATCCCCCCTTTTCTGTATTTGTGCAAATGTGTGCTGCTGTAGTTTAATTGGAAGTCATTCTTTTATAAGGACACCATAAATGATGTGAACCCAGTCGTCATTTAAGGCTGTTTCTGGTGAAGATGGAACTTCAAATGTCACACGTGTTCCTGCGCCACCCTTTTTTTGCTTTGAATTAATCAGATGTTAATAATCACTCCCTTGCCTGTCATTACTAGTCTCTCTGCTCCCTGGGTTGCATTGTTTGTCTCTTTTTCATGAGGTAATTAGGTCAACCCACTGCAATGCATGGGACTGCTCCGAAACTATGCATTGTTGTCCCCAGATCTGAATCTGATTAATCATTACTGTTTTAAGATAAGATATCAGCATTCTAGTAAAAAAGCAACAAAGCTGTGGGGTGAAAATATTGATTATTTGGAGACTGCAGTGAACAAGCGTAAAGCGTTTTACTGGAACTTGCGTGTGTGCCTGTTTCTTTTGCAGGGTTCAGGGTTGTAAATCAGCTTTCTGTTATGTTTATGAACCCCTTGCAGGGCTTTGGTTCTCACTCAGTATAAACAAGTCTCTTACATCTAGCTCTGAGTCCTGAAAGTGAACTTTGAACAAATAGTTAGTATACTTGGAGTACTGGCCTAGTCTGCAGCTGCATACAACTCCAACTGAGGAAATAATAACACTCGAAGGCTGCCCTTGAACTCAATCCCGCGAGGCACAAGTAGGACAAGTAGGAGTGTAACACGGGGTTTGTAGAGTAAGTGAATTAACTTCCCTAAGTCAGCCCTCCCAACAGAGAGCACGTGAGCTCTGATGCTGAATAGGCAGATAATGGAAAACTTTGACTGCAGAAGCTACGAATAGTACTAAACAATGGTAACTGTATGTTATTGTCATTTCTAAAAAACATCCGATTTAAAATGAACTTTCAAGTTCTCAAATTGATCTTGGTTGTAGTCATATCAACAGTGGCCAAAGTGTTGTTTTGCCATAGTAACCTGACCACAGTTCTCCTTTTTCTGGCACTCTTTTTTTGACACTGACGTCGGGTTAGTCAAGATGACCCTCTGGCTTTAGTACAAGACCTACTCTCCATATGAATCACTGCAAAGAAACATTTTTGCAGAAGTGAAATTTGTATTTTCAGACATGGAAGACATGAGATACTAGTCACACGGGATATGAAACATGCCTAGAGGTCTGACCTGGTAAATATAAAACCTAAAAAGGGACAGGTTTAACCGCAGTTCAGAATACTTTCCTCCGTTTCTGCCAAAAACTAAGTCACACTGATCCACTGCAGCTTTTACAGGAAGTCTGTGTGTTTGTGATATCTTTGATTTGTTTGCAAGACCTTGTTCTCGTTCTCACTAGACAAAAATCGAAGTAGGTTTCTATCAGTGAAAGGCTAAATAAGACTCATCGGACTCTGCAGAAAAAAGAAATATACTACAGGCACACCAGCACACAAATAGCCAACACTGCACAAATGATCACTGTGTTTCTGCTGTCTCTCTGTCAGGTCGAGGCCCAGCACTGTGTGTGGCATGGCGAGTGTGGGGAGTCTGCAAAGGTGCCCGGAAAAAAGTACAACTGCAAATACAATGGTCCTCCCATCTCGCTCCAGCCTGAGGGTTACGAACTTCTCACGGTACATACAGTGTCTTGGTGTTTTTGTGCTGTTATTTCTGACATTTGATGCTCAAACCAATCTTTTGTAACATACTTCTGCTTTCCCACTGGGCTTTATTTTGCACTGTGGAAATATTCTACCAAAGTGACGTCACCCTTTCTGTGTTTGCATACAGGAGCTTTGTCCTGGATATGACTATGGAAACCGAAGCCTTTGCTGCGATGCTGACCAGTTGCGCACTCTCAAAGGGAGTCTCCAGCTGCCCCTTCAGTTCCTGTCTCGGTATGCACTGCAGTTATAACATTAACTAAAGAAGCACATGATATACTTGGAAAGGGCATTATCATTCCCTGTCTGAATTTCTGAACACAAAGAGTAGACTGTCTGTCCTTTTAAATCTGTCAGTATTTTTTCGTTTCAAATCTTATATGTTGTTCTTTGGGTTAGGGTTCATTTCTTTAAATTCTGCTTCTCACACGCTCTACGTCTGTGTGCAGGTGTCCCGCCTGTTTCTTCAATCTGATGAACCTCTTCTGTGAGCTGACGTGCAGCCCCCACCAGAGTCAGTTCATGAATGCCACCAAGGTCGACGATCAAAACGTACTGGAAGTGCAGTACTATATTGGACAGACATTCTCTAATGGTAAGTTCACAGCCAAATGAGCGTCACAGCTTCACCCTCATGCTGTGTAAACTTCATCAGTTCCCTTCTCAAACATGAAGTTGTACTCTCAGTTGTGTAACTCTGTTGTTGACTAACAGTCATAAATGTTTCATTTTTGAGCGAATATAATGGGGGATGGAGAATTCGACGTATTAAAAATCTCGAGGTTTCCCTAAAAATAATACAGTTTCACTTTTTCAGCCATGTACAATGCCTGTAGGGACGTCGAGGCACCATCCAGCAACGTGAAGGCCTTATCGCTGCTTTGTGGGAAGGATGCAAAGGACTGCAATGCTACTAACTGGATCCAGTACATGTTCAACATTGAGAATGGACAGACGCCCTTTCCTATCATTCCGATATTCTCAGGTAAATAACCTAATATTACTTTTGTATATTAGGTTATGACCCTGCTGCAGACAAATATTTAAATTCCTTTAAGTAAGTTAAACAGATGTTTACCTTTGCTACATCTGTTCTGCTGCGTGTGATTAATACACAATGCCGTGTTATTTTGTTTCTTTGCTTTAGATGTCCCTGTGTCTGGTTACACTCCCATGAACAACAAGACGTACGCTTGCACAGAGGCCCTGGAAGACGGTTCGGGTCCCTGCTCCTGTCAGGACTGCACAAAGGCCTGTGGCCCCAAACCTGTCCCTCCTCCTCTCCCTCCTCCCTGGACTATCCTCGGCATCGATGCAATGACTGTCATCATGTGGATCTCTTACACGGCCTTCCTGCTCATCTTTATTGGAGCTGTACTGGGATCTTGGTGTTACAGGTAAATAACTGCTGGTGGTGTTTTCTATTAGGAATCATGTGTTATACCCACAGACCCTTTTCACCTGCTGTGGAAAAAAGTATGTTGGTTCTGATGCTTGCTTTAGAAGTTAATATTGAATTGGCCTGTGTGGTTCTTTGTGTGGTTCTTTGTGCATACAGGAAAAGGACCATCATGTCTGAGTATGGCCCCATACTGGACAGCAATAATCCACTGTCTCTTAACAGTGATAACCCCGATCAAGGTATTGTAATTCAAGATAATGAGTCAAGCTCTTTCTGTAATCTGTTTGTCGTACTAGTTATTGCATTGGTCTTTAGGTGTAATACAAAAAATAACTTTGCTGCACCATTGCTGCGTGATGTAAACTAACCTTTAGTCTTTCTCTCCTCTCAGTAAACGCATCATGCTGTGAAACACTGGGTGAGCGCTTCGAGAATGTTCTGCGGCTCGTCTTTAGCTCCTGGGGTTCTTTCTGTGTGCGGCATCCCTCTGTGGTCCTGCTGGGCAGTCTGATCCTGGTGGTCGCCTCCTCCGGGGGCCTGGTCTATATGCGCATCACCACAGACCCCGTTGAGCTGTGGTCGGCTCCCACCAGCCAGGCTCGTCAAGAGAAGGACTACTTTGACAGCCACTTCGGACCCTTCTTCAGAACTGTGCAGCTGATTATAACCAGTCCACTCCAAATCAATTTCACATATTCCCCATACTTTGGAGGATCAGATGTTCCATTTGGAGCTGTCCTGGACAAAGACATTCTACACCAGGTGGGTTAGTGGGAGAGGTGAATTCGAGAGGATGGATCATTAGCCATATTTCGTAATTAAAGCCACTGTGTAGAAGTATTGATTATGTTACCAGATTAGATGTAAACCTTCCACGTGAAGAGCAGCTGCATCTCTGAAACTGCGGTTTATTGTTTCCTCTTTTTTTCTTTTTTTTCCCTTTCTTTTTCTACTTTTCTTTTTTCTAACCGTAACCAACCAGGTGCTGGATCTGCAGCTCGACATCGAAGGACTTGTAGCCACATACGAGGGCCAAAACGTCACCCTGAAGGATCTCTGCTTGGCTCCGCTGGCCCCGTACAATAACAACTGTACCATCCTGAGTGTCCTCAACTACTTCCAGAACAGCCACACTGTGCTGGACCACATCATGGAAGACGAGTTCTTTGTCTATGCTGACTTTCACAGCCACTTCCTCTACTGTGTCAGGTGATTTTCTTAAAACTGGTTAAATGTTATTCTTTGTTCCTTTTTCAGATGTTAACCAATAAGCTGGTGCCCCTCTGGTCTTAAACTTCCCTTGTAAACATGTCTTAATTTCCAGCAGAGACCTAGACAATACACCGGTGTTGAAACACCTGCAGCTCACAAGAATCTATTTCCACTAGATGCTTGCAATTTGCATTTTCTAAGAACTGAAAAGTGACTCCTTAAAATAGCAACATGACGCTTCCTCATTGGTTGTCATGCAGTTGTTCTTTATCTGTTTTTTTTTTTTTTTTGACTGCACTACAATACAGACAATAGCAAAACATTCATCAAATAATGACTGTGATTTTTCAGGCTGTTAACTGTTGGTCTTTTCTTCCACAGTGCGCCAGCATCCCTCAATGACACCACTCTCCTCCATGACCCCTGTTTAGGCACTTTTGGTGGCCCCGTCTTCCCTTGGCTGGCCCTGGGAGGTTACGACGGTGAGCTGGATGAACTCTTTTAGTGGGCAGAAGGAGAAAACAGCAGCAGTTTTTTTCATTTACAGCAGTTACATAATCTGTTTACAACCTCTGTAGATTATTTTATTGTACTGTAAAAAAAAAAAAAAA